AGTAAAAGTGGTTTAATGATTAGCTCTGACTGCAAGTGATAGTTTAGGCCAAAGCATGACCAGGTAAGCTATAAGTATGGAATACAGAATGCATTGATAAGTTTAGTACAAAGTTAAACATGACTTAGTAATCATGGCATATCTTCACCAATTTACCAGAGTCATTGGTAAGGTGGGTGGATACAAGATCAGAGTGTTTAAATAGAAGATCTACAGGTAGGTCCTAGATATAGAAACTAGTGTAGAACCTTTGGGTAGACTACTTAAATTAAACAATAACTAAAGTTGTATGAGTGGCTAGTTGTATATACTTTTTATAATCACCTCTGTGCTGTAACATCAACAGATGCTAGCCAACTGATACTACCAATAAAATCCTAAGTTGCATGTACTCACCTTAATATTAAAAAAAATAATAATAATAAAGTCATAGAAGTATCTGAATTATAGTTTTCATCATTATCTAAATCTTCAATTATATAATCAAGTTTATCTTCAATATATTCTTTGAATTGAATTCTTTTTCTTTTAGTTCTATATAATCTATTTTCTAAATTTCTTATTACTTTAGGATATATAATTGTGTTAACATGTAAATTATTTTCAATTCTATGGTTTGTTAATTCAAATTTGTTAACTTGTGAATTAAAATTATGATTGTAATATCTGATACTATTACTTTCTTCTATCAAATTATGTTCTTCAATTATATATACAATTTGTTTAAGAGTAACATCAAAATTAAACTCAATATCAAATCGAAGATTGATAAAATTTTTATATGAGCCCTTATAAAAAATCCTTTTCACAGAACAACAAACACATTCAAATGTACATGGACATGCATTATCAAGTCTATATTTTTTGTACTCAATAATATAATCAAAATGATTATAGATCAAAGAATATTTTCTTTTGTTTTCTATCTAATAATTACTATTTAAAATAAAATATAGTATATCTTCAAAGTATGTATATTGATTTCACAATGATGTATTTGATATAAATACATTTACAAATGAACAGAAGTTCAAATGATCTTCTTTTTTTTGAACAGTATGTTGTTTGTTATCAATTAATGTCAACAGCATTGAAAATTTCATGTTATAATTATAAAAATCATCAAATACAAAAACTTTGTTTTTATTATAACCTTCAAACTATTGTCTGTTATTTTGTGATTTATGATAAGCATCTAAAAAAAGTATTTGTGTTAAATAGTCTTTGCCTGTTCTCGAATTACTATAGATATAAATATTGCAAAAAGTAAAACATCTTTTGAATGATTTTTTTTGTCCATCTTATATTATGTTATATAATTCTTTAATAATGTGTAGTGCAGTTCCTGAGTTTGCATAGGCATCTGTAATAATTTCATGTATTGGTTTACTTTGTTCTTTAATATCTTTAATTGTTTGTTTATATATTTTTTTTTGGTCTTCTGAAAAATATTTATTAAATCTTTCAACATTATTACTTGTTGGCAATTCTCTATATTCAAAGGGACCAGAATTATCATCAACATATGCAAATGTTCGAAATTCCAAGTAACTTTTGTTACATTTGTCATAAAATTTTATTAAATCAAAGAAATCACATCTGCAACTACTATGTTTTGAACAATAATTGTAATTTTTTTTATTGTAATTAATTGCATTCTCAAATGTTCCATTATGATAGTTGACATGCATTTCTTTAGATTGAAAAACACTTTTAATTGTTGAAGCTTTTTTATCATATTTATAATTTTCTAGTCTTATTTGTGTCCATAACATACAGAATCCTTGTATATGTTTTTTATTCATTTTAGTAAGTTTGTATTAAAAAACAATATATCAAATAATTTTTCTGTTAACATTTGTAATTACTAAGTCTTTAACTTTCTGCAAATCATCTGTAAAAAGAGTAAATATTAAATGTCTCAATTGTGTTTTTCTTTAAATGTTTGTTATTGTTTAAAATATTTTATATTTGTTTTTGTATTTGTTTTGTAATTTTTTTTTTTAAATTGATTTACCATCACTCCTGTCTTTATACTTTTTTTTTTTAATAGCTACAGCAAATAAAATAATTATCTGACTAAATTACTCTTAAAAAGAAAATTTTAATCTATTTTTTTTATATCAAGTGCCACAGCAATCTGTTTTAATTATATACTTTAAAAGATAACTATAATTTCATTAGTTTATACAATTTACTGCATATTGAAACAAAATCTATAAAATAACATTACATTGCTTCTTTTTAAAAATTAGTTTTGAAGAATAAGAATTTCAAATACTTTTGGAATTGAACATATATACTATGACAAATCAATGCATGCTTGGGTTTATTACACATATCAAAATAAACAATATCACAAATGTCAATTTACAATGATAAAGCTGTTTTTAATCTTGCAGTTCAATATAAAAAGCAATATGAATCAAAACTAAAATCCAATACTATCAATAACAATGCTTCAAAAACTAACTAATGATGAGTATAAAATACTGTCTAAAAAAGAGAAAAGATACTATCACAAACTAGAAAAACAAAATGAACAATATGAATTAACTAAATTCAATTCAGTTTGGTTCTACATTAATCATTTTATTAATATTAAAGATATTTTTGAAAACAGAATAAACCTTAATGATTCAAAGCTTTATAAAAAATTTACATCAATTCTTAATAAGATTCTTTACTGGACAGAGATATACAAAGTAGAAAAGAATGCAAAATTTGTACAAAAATATCAACAATTATCAATGAAATAGAAACATCAACAATACTAAATGATTTTGTCATAATTATTTTATTGAAATATTCAAAATTTGAATATAAACTGCATCTTTATAAAGACAAAAAAAGCTATTACTATTAACAAGTTTACTTGAAATGTACTATAAAGTAGTTGACTTAAAAATTTGGGAATGTAATCATTATGCTAATCTAATCTTAAAAAAGAACAAAATATCTTCTTAAAAAAGAAAAATACCTGTGCAGGCAATAAAAAAGTTCAAGAAAATTTCTCAGATTGCAAATAACACTTTTGAATGTAAACAACATTATCAATTTAAAATTAATATTAATAATTCTTACAAGACTTTTTTATTCTGTTTAAGAAAATTATTAGAACAAACCAAGAAATATAAAATGAAAAAAAACAAATTATTTAGTAGTAACATTAGAAAAAATGCATTACAACATAGTTAATTCTATAGATTCTAACATTTTTGTTTTTGATTTAGCAAAAAACTTATATACCAAAGAACATTCTATCGAGAATTTTTATTTTAAACCAAACTTATTTTATTATTTTTCTGTAATGAAGTATATAATTTATCAAATTAATGAACAACTTAATAAAGATTAAATATATTTTATTTGTTTTATAATATCTGTTTTAAAAATAAATTTTAATAAACATGTGTAAAGCATATGTACAGATGCATCAGCACAGGCACATTTACATATACATATACACACACTCACATACATACACACATACACATTTACTACAAACCGCACACTTAAACCTATACATTTTTTTTTAAAAGCAAACAATGTTTGCACAAAGGTTAATTGAATCAAAAGAAGCCTTCTTAATAAGATTAATTTTTGGTTTCTATTAATTATTTTTATTTAATATATAAATATTATATAATCAAACCTGCATTTTGCAAACATAGCAAATATCAAATACAGACCAAAATAAACAATGATAACATTAACAAACAAAAATTTCAACAATGTGAATTCTTTTCATCTCTGTTATATTAGCATATAGAATAACAAATATAGACCACAAAAGCTTTTTGTAAATTATTTTAATATAGTGAAAAACTACTGGTATTTGAAAAAAATTATAAAATTTCAAAAAATTCATAATGTTTGTTATATATTGATTATTGAATTGCACTCATGCACTAATGTTATCAAATAAACCAAAAATATAATTTGATATAAAGTTATCAAACTCTTCAATATTTGCTGCATGAAAATAATTTCATTCATCTTTAGCATTATATAAAACAATCTTTAAAGCATCATTCAATTGTTTTAGATTATTATTTTCTTCAGCCAATTGAGCATTAATAGTTTCAACTTCTTGGATTCTGGTTCTTAATTTATTATTTAATTGTTTCTTATCAGCAAGCAATGCAATATTTCATTGTCTTAAAAGCTTAATTGTAGTAGCCATTTATTGTAAATCAAAGTTATCTAGTTGTATTTATATTTTTATAATATAATTAAAGTTTTAATTACTTATTTTATTTAAAAAATTTTAAAAACAAGATCATGATCACAATAAGTTGCTAACAATTAGAGTTTTTAATTTTGATTTTGATATCAAAATTAAAATTCAAAATCAATTGTTAACAACAATATTGCAGCAAGCCTGAACAGTGATTGAGTGACTGTGAACAACATTTGTATAGATGGGACTAAGCATAAGTCTGCATCCAAATAAACATAGAAAAAAAATACACATCAATACAATTTATATGTAATTTATTAATTTGTGCCAGGCAAAATTCAGCTGCAAGTCAGATTTTCAACAATGTTGCAGCTCAGATAAATCACATTTTTTATTTTTATTTGATTGTAACTTTATTTTGTACTATCTTTTTATTTTCTTATCTTATAATTTATCACAAATCTTATTACAGTTTCTTAATTCAAAATACATAAATTCTATTCTAATTTTTTATATTGAATCTTAATCTGTACTTTTTACTAATAAATTTTAAGTTTAAAATCTTTTAAACTTCAAAAGATTGATTTTTATAAAGTTTCATTTTATTATAATAAACTTTAAATTATCTAATTTTTAAAAAAAAAATTTAATCAATTTGGTGTTACATGATATAGCAACAAATCTGTTAATTATATTTTCTAAAAAGGTAATTTTATTTTTATTGATTTACAATATTCTACTGCATATAAAATTAAAAAAAAACTATAAAACACATTGAATTCTCTTTTCTTTAACTAATTTTTTAGTTATAAAAATAATGAAAAATTCTAAATCAGATATACAGAATATTTATTATGACATATTTCGAAAAGAATGGGTTTTTGAAATAGACAAAAACAAAATCTGTCACAAAAAATATTTCTCTGGAGCTCATGAAGACAAATCTGTTTTTAATTGTGCAATCAAATACAAAAAACAATACTTAATAATAACAATATTAAATTTAAAAAACCTAAATCAAAACTATATTTAACAAACAACTAGTTAAAAATTAATTTTATAAATTAACTAATTTAATTCAAGATGAGAAAGAGTAATAACCTGTAATTTTTAATTTCATTAATAAGTTTTACTAACTTTTATTCTTCACACTTAGCTACTTCATAGAGAATGTAGTTTCTAACTGGTTTTCATAATTGTAATTCATTTACTTGAATTATTTATGCTATAATTTCAGAATTATTTTTGAAAATATATATTTATTTTAAATTTCTTTAATAAAAAAAAATAAGTTAAAATCAGTTTTTTGTAATAATAATAATTTATAATAACTGAATTTAATAAAATTTAAATCTAATTTGTTTTAGTAATTTTATAAAATGCATTTCATGTTAAAGTGTTGGAACTCCAAGATATAAAACAAATGCTTACTTATAAAAATATATTGTTGAAGGTGTGGTTAGTTTTTTGGTTTTATGGTAATAGGGACAAGAAAAATGTGATGGATTGTCACTCGAGAATACTAAATGTTGTGAAATATTGCATCACAGAAGAGGCAGAATGATTTGGCAAGACTAAGGCATGAGTGCAAGGTCTTGGTTTATTGCTAATAACAGTTTTTTATTATTAATATGAATGTTAACTATCCTAATTCTCTCTTTTCTCTTTCTAAAAAAAAGGCACTTATATACAAGAATGGCACCCCACTAATAGAGATGGCACAGGAGCCCAAGATCCAACATTTTCTTACTGAACTCAATGGTTTCAGATCTATCATTACGATCAGGACCTTGAATGGCCTCATGTAGCATAAACAACTAGCCCAATCTGGCAGATCTCCTTCAACAAATGGCTATAGTACCTGGTTCTGCATCATTACAGCATTGTTTCAGATGGGTGGCTTGGCTTCCAAGTTTCTCGAAATACAATTGATGCACAATCATTTGCTTGTTTCAGAGGTGTTCTTACTGTAAGGGGCATGGGTCAGGGTGGCACTGGGTTAGAGCAACTCTGATATCCATTTTGCCTGTAACAATATATAACATCTCTCATAAGCACATGCAAGGCATGAAGAAAAAAAAAAGCATCACGGACAAATAATCTTTAAATTTTAATATTAATTCAATAAATTTATTATTTTATTTAATATATAGTTATAATATAATCATATTTACATATAGCAAATATAGCAAATATCAAATACAGACCAAAGTAAATAGTAATAACATTAACAAACAAAACTTCTGCAACTCTAATTCTTTTCATCTCTGTTAAATTAACATATGGAATAACAAAAATTGGTTACAAAAACTTTCTGTAAACTATTTTAATATAAAAAACAATTGGTATTTAAAAGAAATTATAAATCTTAAAAAATTTACAATATTTGTTATGTATCGATTATTAAATTGTACCCATGTACCAATATTTTCAAATAAACCAAAAATATAATTTGAAATAAGTTATCAAACTCTTTAATATTTGCTGCACAAAAATGATCTTATTCATCTTTAGCATTATGTTAAACAATTTTTAAAGCATTATTCAATTGTTTCAAATTATTATTTTCTTTAATTAATTGAGCATTATTAGTTTCAACTTCTTGAATTCTGGTTCTCAATACATTGGTTTCTTGAATTAATTGTTCTTTATCAGCAAGCAATATAATATTCCATTGTCTTAAGAGCTCTGATATTGCAGCCATTTATTGTAAATTAAAGTTATCTAGTTGTATTTATATTTTTATAATATAATCAAAGTTTTAAATACTTTTTTTATTTAAAAAATTTCAAAAACAAGATCATGATCACAATAGGTTGTTAACAATTAGAGTATTTAATTTTGAGTTTGGTATCAAAATCAAAATTCAAAATCAATTGTTAACAACAACATTGCAGTGAGTTTGAATAGTAATTGAGTGACTGCAAACCATTCAGTTCACATGGGTGGGGCTAAGCATCAGACTGCACCTACACACATATAGAAAAAAAAACATATCAACACAATTTAGATGTGATTTACTAATTTGCACTAGGCAAAATTTGGCTGCAAGTTAAATTTTTAACAATGTTGCAGCCTATGTAAATTGCATCTCTTATTTTTATTTAATTGTAACTTTATTTTTGCCATCTTTTTATTTTCTTATCTCATAATTTATCACAAATTCTAACACAGTTTCCTAATTTAGAACACATAAATTTTATTCTAATTTTTTATATTAAATCTTAATCAGTACATTTTACTGATAAATTTTAAGTTTAAAACTTAATTGGTAGTTATTGTTAAAGCAATTTGTTATTTGAATGAACTTCCAAATTATTCAATATAAATCAGTACTTTAAAATTAGATTACCAATATATTTTGTCAATCTATATATAAATAATAAACTAAAAATAAAATAACAACATATATTTTGTCAATTACAATATAAATAATAAACTAAAAATAAACTATAATTTATATTGCAAAGTTATATATATTTTGAAAGTTCTGACAATTTTTTTATCAATAAAAAGCAAGCAAAAAACATCTTCTTACTTCACAAATTCATTTATTTAAAATCTTTACATATTTTTAAATTGTTTTTTCAAATCTTTTTCATAACTTCTTTAACAATTAGTAAACAAAATATGTTTCTTTTACTTAATTCTTGTTGGAATTATTTGCTTTAGTCTATTAATAGTAAACAACATTAAGAAATTTGATATTTTCACTTTTATTTTTGAAATAATTTATTCAAGAGTTTTTTTTTATTAAAATATTTATTTATTCTATATTTATTATATTTAATATTTGTCTCTAGTGTTATTTAATAAAAACATACTTAAAGCAATAGATTTATTAATTTAAACAAATAAAAAAACTAATATGCTAAAAATTTATTGTTATAATTTTCAAGGTTTGTCCAACTCTATAAATATTTAATATTAAATTTCTTAACATATTTATTAACTTTTTCTAAGTAATTTTAAATAACATAACATTTCTTTTATTTATATCTTCTAACAAATCCAGAGTATTATTTGCATAATGATAATACATTCTTGCATTCTAGCTATAAAATGTTGTCTGAACATGAAATTCAACCCAAGACAAAATATTGATTAATCGTTTATGTTTTGTATTATAGTAAATTGTCAAGAATAGATTAATTAAATTATTTTCAATTAGATAGTTTTTAAACTCTTCATAACTTGTAAATACAATGTATTCAGTAGTTTTAATTTCTGTAATAAATTGTTTGTCTTGTTCAATTGCTGGTACATAACCTTAAAATAAATCTTTTTTATCGATAATTGAACCAGATAACCAATTTTTATTATCTTGTATAATGTTATTCCAATTATCCTTTTCAAATGTTTTTGTTTTCTTGAATGTAGTTTTAATTTTTTTAATAATGTTTTTAATAAAAGTCATTTTTCAAGTATTTTGTTAAGTATTTTTCATCATTGTAAAAATCTTCTTAGTTAAATAATAAATTTTTATCAAAATTAATTTTTTCAATAAAATAAATTTTATTTATCAAACAAGTAATAAACCAATTATATAGTGCCTGTTTTATAATTTTTAATTGTACCAATAAGGCCTATTCACAAATTGGCTTTATATTTTCTTTGAAATACAAATTTTTTTAAATGTAAATCAAGTTTTTCCTTAGCTGTGTCTTGCTTTAAAATGTTTATTTTAACTTCTTACCATAATCCTTTAACATGTTAAGTATGTATTCTTTTTAAAGTATGACTTTTACTTGGTTTTTTATGATTTATTCTTCAATGTTTAAATCCTAATTTTTCTAAATTACTGTAATCTTTTCAACTATCTGTGTATATAGTTGATCCTGATTATGTATAAGTTTTAATTAATATTTTTAGAATATTTGCATTTTTGTTTTGAACTATTTTTAAAAACATCTTCTTAATTTAGTTCATTCAACTAGTCTGACTACCCACCAATTTTCATATTATTTAAATTTTGATTTATTAATTTTTACTTAACTTTTTTTCCTTCTATTTTTTTATTCTCATTTGTTAAACTTGTTGTGACTATATTTTTAAACAAGTTTATAAATCTTGTTACAGTACCTCATTCATGTTCAGTAAACAATCAGATTGTTGTATATCTTGCTTTTAAAAGCTATAAGTATCCAATTAACAAAATTTTATTACATTTCAGTCTATGTTTATAAAAATAATGTTTTTATAAACTGAAATTATTTCTTTTAAACAAGTTTTACAATAAAAAATTTTTCGAGTCAAAATGAAATATAATATTTTGTATTTATAATACAAACATTCAGTTGGTTTTTTCAAAATTTCAGTTTCAAAAAAAAATTTAATATATTTTCTTTTATCAAGAAAAATTTCTTTCAATTTATAAAAACTTAGAAACTTTATTTTTTTTTTAAATTAATATTATTTTAATTAAAATTTCTTTTAAATTAATAAGTTTTAAAATTTTTTGTACTTTATTTTTTTTAATAAAAAATATTTTAATATTTTGTTCCTATTTATAAGTTAAGTGATGTAAGGAAATAAAAAAAACTGTACATGGTGCAGGTATTTTTATTTTCTAATATTATGTAGCTTACTGTATAGTGTTACAGTAAGCTACTATAATGAAAGTATTATTATATATAAAAGAAATAAAGTACTAGGATTATCAACTAGAGTTTAAATTTGAAAAATATTACTTTGACATATATAATTAGTATTAAAAGAATTTTAAATTTGTGAAATACAGAGTCAAGAAATATGTAATAAATTGTTATTCAAAAATACCAAATATCATAAAATGTTGTACTATAGAAGAAACAGAATAATTTAACAAGACTAAGACATGAGTGCAAGATCTTAGTTTATTACTAAAACTGTTTTTATTACTATTATGTTATTACTAATAATTACTATTCTATTGATTAACTATACTTATATACAAAAATGACACCTTACAAAAAAAAACAATACAAAGATCTAAGATCAAACATTTTCTTATTAAACTCAATAATTTCAAATCTGTTATTATGATCAAAATCTTGACTGGTCTTCTATTGCACAAACAACTAACTCAATTTAACAGATCTATTTAACAAATAGTTATAGTTTCTGAATTTGCATTATTATAATATTGTTTCAGTTGAGCAATTTGATTTTCAAAGTTTTTTAAGATACAATTAATGCACAATAGTTGGCTTATTTAAGAAGCATTCTTGCTATAAAAGAGTATAAGTTAGGGTGGCACTGGGTTAGAGCAACTCTAGTACCTATTTTGCTCTTAAAACTAGGAAAACTTAGATTATTAGAATAAATAACTACAACAATTACAATAAAATTATAACTGTTAAAAATACCATATTTCATGGTCCAAACCATCCTTCCCCAGTAAAATAATTATTGGTTATGCAGTTATTTATATAGTGAATATAATAGTTTATTTATATGTAACAACATACATAAAGCAATAACCCCATTACAAAAAAAAATCTTTGATAAAAAAAAGCTTGATCAAATATTACAACAATTAAATGAACATTTAATCAAATTTGTATCAAGTGAATCCAAGGCAGTTCCCATCTACAAAGCAAGTAGTAAATATGATGGTCTTCTAATTCATCCTAAGAGAGTTAATTCATAAATTGCTTCTGCCATCCAACTATTATACAACATCTGGACTTTATCTTTAAAACTTTTATTAATACTAATATCTAATAGTTGTAATTTAGATATAAGTCCACCAGGAATCACAGCAATATCTGTATTATGAATATGTATATATAGTTTAACTGGATCTACTAAATGTGCATAAAAGGAGTCAAGTATTAAAAGTGATCTTGGATTGTTAGGAGCTCTTCTAGACCAAACATTTTCGATCTACCACAGCATTTCATTTTTATTAACCCAACCTTTTTCATTTGCTTGGACAATAACATTATGAGGAAAGATTTCTCGAGGTATGGTTTTTCTTTTAAATATGCATACTGGTGGTAGTTTTGTTCCATTAGCTAGATATGTAAGAATGACAGTAAAATTTTTTTTCATTACCAGTAGTTCGAATACTAACAGTATGGGCTCCTCGCTTTTCAATTGTTGATGGGTTTGGTAAATCAAATGTAAGGGGAGTTTCAACCATATTTCCTATCAAAAATAAAGGGTAATTGTGTTGAATTCATAAATTTAAAACATAGTTAAGAAAGGTTTGTTTTTTTTCTTTGAAATCCTCAGGTAATTTCTGTGAGATGGTTGTCTGATGGCGAATTGATAAATTATAACGATTTAAAAAACCATCAAGCCAAATATTTGAAAACTTAAATGATTGAAGATTTGGCTGTTGAAAATTTATAATTTGGATAAGTGAAATTGCCTTGGCAGTTATCATATCTCGAGTAATAGAGTTTTGTAATTGACATTGATTTATAATTCAACCGAATAGTATTTATTTAATTTGTGGATATTGAGATAATTTTTCATTATGTAACTTGAAGGTTTTTGGTGAAGCTTTAATTAATATATCTTTTTTATTCATTTAGTCATGTAGTTGATTTGGTTAAATATTAAAATTTTTACATGTCTCTCTAATACTTAGATTAGTTTTATTTTCTTTATAGTAAGTAATAATATTTAATTTTTCACAAGCATTCCATTTTCTTTTTAATTTTTTGGTAATATGGGCTTTTAAGATACTTTTATTGCTTAAGATAGTTATTTTTTTTTTCTTGGAAAAAAAAATAAAAAAATTTTTACATCATATATATATAAACTACGTTAACAAAATAACAATAAAATTTGTCATTATGAATTTATTCAAAAAATTACACAAGAGATCTTTTTGTTTTGCGAATTTATTACAAAGAGATCATTTGTTTCATTTATTACAATTAAAAAATTTTCTCTAAAAAAAAAGTACAAAACCACTATCTTCTAAATTTTAATAAAAAAATATCATATAACAGTAATAGTTGACATAATGACATAATGGCAATTGTTGATGTAATGCAGTAATGACAATTGTTAACAACAATTGTTCTGGGAATACAACATTGTTGCTGATCTGATATGCACTATGAAAATATCCACAGAATCCGACAAGGGAGAGTGGTTTGGACCATGAAATATAGTAACTTCAGTATTTTTGTCTAATACAAATAGAAAAATATGTATTGTTCTTTTGATCAAAAATATTTGTTTGTACCATTAATGAGAGTAAGGCCTGTAATGTAAGTTTTCATCTAAAACACTTACTTCTAATAAAATAACCTGTGCTTGATGTGTTTTTTTGACCATTTATTAAAGTATTTTAAATGCAAGCATATATGTTAAAATTATAAAATAATTATTTTCAATTTTAATATTGCTTATTACATGATTAGTGCTAATCTAAATGAATTACCAATTAATGAATTTTGTAAAGTTGTTCGTATCAATAGCATTTTTCTTTCTATTGAAACTCTATTTTATTAATTATCTTTCTTATTATTTTTAATTTCTAAAAATCTTGATTATGCATTTTCTACATCCTAATTTCATTGGTGTATACAGTACTTTAATTATATTAGGTAATTGTGTAACTTTTCTCTCAGGTTGTGTACATATAAAACTATGAATCTATAAATAATTACAAGGTAAATTTATGATATCTATAAATAAAAAAATATACAAAATGAGATGTACAATGTAATTTAATAAATTAGGAAAGGGACAACGGATAATTATGAAACTGAAGTAGTGTTACATAACCCCGGTAGTGTAACAATTTAAAAAATGTCAGGTGAAGATAGCACCATTAAAATCCTAAAAATTTACAGAGAAACATGCAAATCCATGTTTAATAGTTAGCAGTTAGAGTAAGCATTGTTTATATAGTTTCAGGAAATGCTAAAGGGCAATTAGAGTTATGTAAGGGGTGACATTAACAAGAATGGAGGTGACATTAAAAAGTTTCTATATTTATTAAAAAAAGCTTTATACAATCACAATACTATTAAAATTTATAATCACATCTTTTTTATGTAAAATAAACAGCGTGATTATAGAGAAAGGCGACTGCATATTCTTATTTTATGTAAACATTAATTTTATACGAAAATTAGATATAATTGTTTAATTAGCCACGGGACCACCATCACTATTTCACTAATGAAGTTTGCATGAGGCCCGAAGAAATCAGATGATTATAAGAAAATCATGATTTAAAATTGTCATGTGATTTACAAAATTTCTCAAAAACACGATTTATAATCTATATAATACGTAGATTATAAATCATGTTTTGAATATAACAATTTTAAATTCTTCGTTGCCACCTTTTGCTACAAAGGGCCCCACATGTCGTTAATTTTATTTATAAATCACCTAATTATTGGAAAATAAACCTTTCAAGTTTTACTTACTCGATATGTTTGTTACTTGGCATAATAAATTGACAACTCTATCTGGGTTGTGGTTAGCATGAATCACTTTTCCAAAACAATACTTTAATCTTCAATATATTCAATAATAGTTAAAAAAATTCTTTTTGATGAGACACAATAAATTGTAAATTCTATGCAAATTAAAAAATAGTACACTAACGTCTATCTTTAATAACATGAAATTCTAGTATTAGTAGATATACTCTGATTCCAACGAAATAAATTATAAGGATCGTATTTTCGTTTAATTTCCACCAGTCTTCCAAAATTTTCTCCATAGTATCTACATTGCCAATTATCTAATTGTCTATCAATGTGATTCTGATAACTTTCATAACTGGTATATTTTCGCTGAAAATTTTGAGAAAACATTCCTAAATCCTGTAAACACTCTTCAGTAGGCGTAAATGCTTTCAATTTTAAATGATATAAAAATCCCCTGTGGACGTATGCAGTTTCATTTCTTCTAAACTTATCAACTCCTCCACCAATTAGTGAAAAATCAACGCCTATTTTACATTTAAACCTTTCTACAAATTTCATAAGATAGTTAACTCCTTCATCAGATAACCCAGTAGAATCAATGTAGAATGATTTTATTTTAAAATCACTATGATTTGAAGCTGATCCTGAGTCATAAAGAATTACATTGTACAAATCATCTTCAATATACGACACACTTTTAGGTTTAGATAATTTAATAAATTCTTGCATATGAAGTTGCAATTCATCTACAGGTCCTAAATAAATTCCATTAACGTGGACTTGAGATTCAAAGATCGCAGTTGCGAAAGTTAAATTTTGATGTAAATTATACCCCAATTGATTTATTACTGAGATAAGTGATGGTATCTGATTCATATCATATGTAAAACTATGATAAGCTACGGTCTTCGGGATAGGATATATCCTAAGGGTTAAAGATGTAACAATGCCATAGCCTGCATTTCCTGCTCCTCGAATAGCCCAGAGAAGTTCAGGATGTTCTTTAACATTGTTAACTACTGTTCCATTTGCTAAAACGATTTGTGCATCGAGAATACTATCCGATGCATATCCAAACCTTCGAGCAATAAGTCCCATACCCTGGTAAAAAATAATAGTATCGAGATTTATAATTTTTGTAGTTAAAAAAAAAGAACTGTAATTACATAATAAAATCATCAAGCAATGCTTACACCACCCATTATATGTCCACCAACTCCAACATGAGGACAAAGCCCACCTGGAAATGCAAATTCATATTGGTTTATTGCATAATATAATGGATTTAGCGTGTTTCCTGTTCCTATTATAGCAGTTTGTGAAGTTATATCGACGGTAACTTCATTCAAGGTTATAAGATCAATAACTAAATAACAATCTCTATCTCCAAGACTGTAGCTTTCAGAAGAATGACCGCCTGATCTTGCAACAATAGGATAATTTAATTTTGCTCCACATTTAATAGTATTTTGGACATCTATTACATCTATCGGACGAACAAATGCTACTGGAAAATAAATGATTCGTTGATTGTATTCTACGTTAAGATCAGTATTATAGGAAAAAAAGTCATCTCGATAATTGACAGTTCCTTTAATGTGTTGATCAAGACACTTTCGGAGGGAATCTTCTCTCGGACATTTACTAGCCGGAAGAAGGTATGTAGATGTATTAATAACTTCAATCAATAAAATTATAATGTATAAATATGATATCATTTGTTATATGTAATAGTGAATTCTCTTGATAATTGTGTACAAAATTTAGCTAGGCAATTTTTAAAATCTTAGCAATTGTTTTTTAAAAAATAGGATGTCTTAGGGGCTCAAATGTACATAATTATTAATAGGATTTATTACCGTATAAGCGCGAAATAACGCCAGTGACATTATTTCGCGATTATAAGTTAATGATCAATTTATTTAGAGCAGATGGGCTATGCTATATTTGTTTCTTAAACACTAAGGCTTATTTTAAAACAAAAACCAATTTTAAATTCGCTAGTATCCATTGAATGGTAAAAAATTTACTAGAAACTATGCAGTAAAAACATACGTGAACTTATTTAAATACATTCTTCAATTAAAAGTACATCTTATCTCCATTTTTATTTTTTTTTTTGCTTGCATAAATGGCTTAGTGCTTTAAATGAGTAATCCGAAGCCACCGGTTCAAAAAATGGGTGTAGTGTTATGAAATTGGTTTATAAACAAATAAGTTTTCAATCAGGATCGAAAAATCACTCTTGCAAACCGCAAAATCGATTCGCACATAATCGTTATATATTAATTGATAAATAAAAAAAAATACCGTACATATATACAGATATATAAACGGCTGTGTTTGTCATTAAAAATCATATGCCATATATTTTTTTTATTAACTATGAGCCTATAGATTAATCACAGCCATTTTATAATGGCTAGTTTTTGTTTAATACTAATACATGGATTTACCTACGTTTAGAGATACTGACCGAAGAAAACAAAATACGGCAAAAAAATATCAAAGCTATAAAATATAGTCTTGAGGCAAAATAAAATATAGATACTACTGAAATTTTACAAGGAATTTATTTTTATTAAGACACGAAAGATGGTTTTATTAAATTTACAAGTTACCGATGATTTTGAAAAACGATTTTTTTCGTCATTTTTATGTTACATCGGATCTTATAATTTAACAAAAAGTTGCGTAATCTATTTTTTGTTCAATCAGTGATAATATTTTCATACATCCAATCAGAAGTGGGGAGTAATTAGGCCTCCCATATTACTACCATTAATTTTAGTTACGCAAATGACATTATAGTTTATTGAGTGAATTTAACCCGGATGAAAAATAGAATTTCCCTAAAAATATTTCTATTGTTATGGATAAATCCTTCTTAGTCATGTAATTTATAGTAAATAATCAAAATGTGATTTAGTAGTTTATAAATGAACAATAGTTGATAATGATAGGATTAATAATAGTTTATTAGTTTGAATTTGGTTATAGTTTTACTTTTACTATAAGTTGAATACTTAGTTTTATATATTGCAAATATATTTATTTAGAGATATTTTCTGTTACCTTTTCTAGACAGAAAGTTCTTAATTTATAATAAAAGTTTTATTTTATATTCAAGATTAACTTTTTCTATATTGCCTATTTACACTATATCTTTATTAAAACCTTTATTTCTACTATAAAAAAGAAATAAATACTCTATATGCTATTAATTTATTTGAAGTAATAAAAGCAATCAAAATAATTAAAGTAAGAAAATAAAACAAATAAGATTTCTCTTACTTTTCATGTGATTAATTACTTGGGTAAAGGATAAGACCTAAATTTAATAATTGATTATATATAATAATATAACTATAAACTGCTTTTAGAGCTTATATAATCTAATTTAAATAATTTTGATACTATTTGAATTTTTTTAATATGATGATTCAAATGATAACAAAATTATTTATCTTAAATTACAAGTTATTATTATTTCTTATATAAGATTGAATATTCAATTTGTTGTTTTTTTGTATAAATTTACTGTTAAAAAGTGTATTAATTTAAATAAATATAAAATTTTTGTATATAATTTATTGTTTTATTAATAATTAATTTATTAATTAAAAAAAATAAAACACTTATAAGTAAATCATATTATTTCTATAAACAGAACTTGAATTTGTAATATAAAATATGATAATTCAAAACATGCTTAAAGGATATGTCTTTTTTAAAAAAATTTATATGCTAATATGCTATTAATTATTACTTAACACTACTAGTATTATACAATTTATAAAAATAAATAGATAGAAATTATTATATAATTACTCTAGATGATAATTATAAAATTTCATATTTGTAAATATAGTAAAACATGATTTTTTTATTTCTTTATTCAATTTGTATAAAAATTTAATATGCAAAAAATTTAAGAATATATTTATAAGATATGTTTTTAAATTTAAATAAAAAAATAATGATCTTAATTATAAAATCTTAAATTGAAACTATTTTAAATTAAAAAATCAATTTGATATTAATATATAACTAATTAAAATTTTATACTATTTATAATATTTTTTGTATATGATAATTGAATAACTAAAAATAAATAAAAAAATTTAATAAGCTTGTAACTTGTATATTATATTTTAGTAATATTAGTTAATTTCTTTTAGTCTTATAACTTTTATAAAACAAATTTACTAATAATTTATTTAATAAAAAAAAATATAATGTAAAAGTTTGTAAAATTAATTTGATATTACTAAAGTATAATGCATAAGCTATAAGTTTATTAATTTTATTTATTTTATAATACAAATTAATTAACAAATAACTTTGTATAAAAGTATTGCAAATTATATAAAAGATTTTTGATAATTTAGGTAATAATGTTAGAATGAATTTTTTAGTTTAAGATAGTTTATTTAAAGTTAAAATCATAAAAAAAGAAACTATTATTAACTAAACTACTAGATTCGAACTAAAAAAAATATCAAATATACTAAGAATGAATTATAGTCTTTTTGAGTTATTTGAATTAAAAGTTTAAAATAAACAGAAATATACTAAAGTATTAATGATAAAGTTGATTTTAAGGTTTAAGTAAATTTTACAAAAGAATAATTTTATTAATAAAACTATAAAATAAGTAGTTTTTTTAATAAAAAGTTTTTTTTAAATTTATAAATAATATATTATTTTTTAATTATTATAAAATTTGCAAATTAAAAAAAATTTAGTAAAAAATTTATTAATATTTTATATTTAACTAAAAATATTTAAAAATTTAATGAATTTACAAATAATATTTAATAAATAGAATAATTACAAATATGAACCTAAAATAAAAATAATTATTAATAGAAATTTAATATTTAAAAAATAATATAAATAAAATTTATAATATATTATTAAAATTGCTAACTAATATAATAATAATAGTATTATTATTAATTATCTTATTATAGATATTTTAGAGTTATTGTTTATTATTTAAAATTATAATTTTACTCTTAAACAATTGCTAATAAATATATAATTGCTATTTCTATTAATCTCTTAACTTAATTTTTAGGTTAAGTTAATACTTATAACAAAACTTTTAACTTTAATACTAATTATTTAATCTTATATACTCTATTGCAATTTGACATGCTATTCAAATTCCAATCCTTCTAAATATTACTATTATTATTTAACCAATTTCTATAATTTTTCAATTCAGTTTACTTATATATAACCTCTAACAAATAGCTAACTATAATGCTAACTTATTAGAACTTTACTTTTACACAGATGATTTTGTTATTGATTTAAGTATTTTACAACTCTATAGACATCAAATAGGCTTAAATTTCTAATAACTTTATATTTATATATATTTTAAACTCAAACAAATTCTGATCTTGTTTATTCAAAGCTAAATTTACTACTATCCTATCTGCTCTTATTACTGCCTCTAAAAATAGTATTATAAACATATACAGTTTTTTAATTTGTAATTTCTAAATATTAAAATATTTTAAACTCTTTTACAATCTTATTATATACACATATATTATATTTTTTACAATAGAACTTGCAAATTAACTTTATTAACTTATACAAAATTAAAGAGTGTAATGACCTAGTGAAGTGGTCAGGTTGTTAATCCTCTAAGTGATAAGTTGGATGTTCAAATCCTATCGATAGCAAAAATTTGGATAATTACCTATCTAATCTGGTATTACAACAACTGTTTCTAATGATTAGGTTAAGATACCTATAATTATGATCATACAAGCATGACTGGCAGGTTATGGGGCATCTATGTAACTTGTTACATGGAAGAATGCAAACTGACAAATCAGGTAGTACAAACTCAAGATAAGTCCTTGTGGCCATGTAAATCCATAGAAATTGGTAAACAAGAAGCCCATTTGGAAAGACCCAAGTAGAGAGGTAACACAAATCTTCAACAGTATCACTGTAAAGGCTAAACCTAAAAAATAGATACCAATGCTAAGTAGCCAGAGAGGCAAGAAATTCTGGGTTAGAAGTCTCAGAGGTACCACCTACCAGGCTGCCAGATCGAACTGGAGAAAAAGGATATTGGGCTGATCTGATATACTGATGAACTGGTTGTAGTCCTACATGGGCTATCTGAATTAGAAGTTTGGTAAAAGAAGCAGGGGTATACTAAAGTACTAGAGATATACTGTGAAGTAGATACTGGGATCTGTGTGAACTCTACAAGAGCATAACAATTTAATGGTTAGCCCTGACTACAAGTGTTGGTTCTGCCATAGCAATATCCAAGTCAGCTGCAAAAATGGATAAATAGCAGGCTCTGGAAGGTTTACCTTGAGGAAACTGTCCTAAGGTTGAGATGAAGGATCTAGGCTTGACTTGGTGAAGTAACATAGGACAGGTTTAGAGGGTTTAAATAAAACATCCAAGCAGAAGTGTTAGATATGACAATTGGTGTAAAACATTAGGCAAACTCCTTAAATAGATAATATAGAAAATTACATAAGTGGCCAATTGTATGCTCTTCCTGTAGTAGCTCCTTACAGAACTATATTCCTAAAAATATGTTAATAAAGTCGAAAGACCAAAAAGGTTATCTTAACACTGAAAAAAAAACTTATACAAAATTCAAATTATTTTTTATAAAATTACTATATATTAAGACAATATATATAACAATCTCACTAACTAATTAGTATAA